AAAAATTGCGAAGAAATGACTGTGATGTATATCGCGTTGGTGGTTCAGTGGTAGAATTCTCGCCTGCCACGCGGGAGACCGGGGTTCGATTCCCCGCCAACGCAGAGTATTTTACCTCTCGCATGATGGTTTCATGAATTTAGTGAAAAATTGCTATCATCATCCACATGGACAGAAATTGGAATCGCTCCAACAGATGTCTAAAGAAGAACGCGATTATCAATTTACGTTGCCAAAAGTTTACACAGAACGTTTTAAAGAATCATTTTTAAATAAGTGTCTTTTTAATGACTTTTAGAATTTTTTATACGTTATATGTTATAACAATAACGTTAGCATATTTCTAAATAATCTAATTATTTTATCTTATATGCACTGATCGTTTTAAATAACATTTAATGACTTTTAAAACTTGGTTTTACTGTATATATTAACTGTAACGTTAACACATTTGTAAACAATGTAATTATATCTTATATGTACTGTAAAGTTGCACGTTTGTTGCAACTCCAATATTTATGATAGATTTTAATAAAGACGCACGTATGAATGAATGTCCCATGTGGTCTAGTGGTTAGGATCTGGCGTTTTCACCGCCATGCATGGCCCGGGCTCGATTGCCGGCATGGGAATGCTTTTTAGGATATTCGATGACTTTCGTTTCGACGACTGGATCGTGGATATTCAACTGCAAAATCTTTTTAACGATGGCCTTGTGGCGCAACTGGTAGCGCGTCTGACTGCAGATCAGAAGTTTAAGTGTTCAAGTCACTTCAAGGTCATGACGAACCTTAGGAATTTTCTTGAAAATGTTCGATATCAGGATAGAGAAGCCTTTTACATTTAGTGGTGGTTGCAATGTTGGTCGATCGAATTCCCATGTGGTCTAGTGGTTAGGATCTGGCGCTCTCACCGCCATGGCCCGGGTTCAATTCCCGGCATGGGAAAATGCAAATTCTCTACAGACAATACCTTTTATTCCGTGCTTACATTCTAAGAATTGTGCGCCCGTGCTGTTGACGTTTTGCTACGTCCATCATTTCAATTTGCAGTGCCGCAAACAACGTAGCTAAGAAGATCACAATGACTAATTACTGACGACGTGTGTACCAATTCTAAAAATAACTTGGTGGTGTTTAAATCCACAGCGAAATAGTAAAAATTGCGAAGAAATGACTGTGATGTATATCGCGTTGGTGGTTCAGTCGTAGAATTCTCGCCTGCCACGCGGGAGACCGGGGTTCGATTCCCCGCCAACGCAGAGTATTTTACCTCTCGCATGATGGTTTCATGAATTTAGTGAAAAATTGCTATCATCATCGACATGGACAGAAATTGGAATCGCTCCAACACATGTCTAAAGAAGAACGCGATCATCAATTTATGTTGCCAAAAGTTTACACAGAACGTTTTAAACAATCATTTTTAAATAAGTGTCTTTTTAATGACTTTTAGAATTTTTTTATACGGTATATGTTATAACAATAACGTTAACATATTTCTAAATAATCTAATTATTTTATCTTATATGCACTGATCGTTTTAAACAACTGTTAATGACTTTTAAAACTTGGTTTTACTGTAGATATTAACTGTAACGTTAAAGCATTTGTAAATAATGTAATTATATCTTATATGCACTGTAAAGTTGCACGTTTGTTGCAACTCCAATATTTATGATAGATTTTAATAAAGACTTACGAAAGAGTGAATGTCCCATGTGGTCTAGTGGTTAGGATCTGGCGTTTTCACCGCCATGGCCCGGGTTCGATTCCCGGCATGGGAATGCTTGTTAGGGTATTCGATGACTTTTGTTTCGACGACTGCATCGTGGATATTCAACTGCAAAATCTTTTTAACGATGGCCTTGTGGCGCAACTGGTAGCGCGTCTGACTCCAGATCAGAAGGTTAAGTGTTCAAGTCACTTCTAGGTCATGACGATCCTTAGGAATTTTCTTGAAAATGTTCGATATCAGAATAGGGACGGGTCATTATTTAAGGCGGGGGGTGGCACCGAAGAGAAATGTTTTTCGTGGCAAAAATTTTGCCGACCCAACCATTAAAAAGTAAAAAAAATTAATTACCCAACCTCAAATATCAATTAAAAAATAAATACCCACCCCTGGCCAAATCATTTACAAAAGGTACCATTCAGTTGTCACATATGTCCTTTACCACTTCTGTGACATAAGTTTGATAACAGATTTTATAATATAGCATTTGTAAATTCTGAATGCTGATTGGCTAAGAGCCGTGTTGATATAACTCGATGTCAACACAGAAATGTCGGAAAATTTCTTTCTTTATATTTCTATGTGCTATATTTTTTCGGGCGTTGTGTTTCCACACAATTAATTTCTCGTTTTCCCAATTTCCACTCGTGTTGATATAAAAGACCCATAGGTCCCATACTCGACTAGCAACATAATCAAGTTAGTTATATTAATTCATTAGATAGGATCAATGTTAAAGGCAAGGTGGGCTACAAGCAATAATCATTTGTATGGTTTATAGAAGGCTAATTGCTGTGAATATATTGAATAATGAATGTAGCACAATATTAAATAGTTGCATGATGACGTCAAAGAGACAAGTCAGACTACATTTGCAAGTTTTGCAACTCTCATCGCTTAAATTCCCCATACCTGAATACAAAATAAACAGTAAACAACAATTACGTTTTACATACCCTACATAAAATGGAGCTTTCATCCTTTCTAGAAACTCACTTCCTGCACTTTTGAGTGCAAATGTAATGTACTAATGTATTAAAAAATTTACATTGTATATCATATTTACAGCGGTTAATACCATTAATATATTGCGGGCACAATACAAAACATGATAATTTTAAAATGTTAAGTTTTGATTTGCAAATAAATAAATAATATTTGATGTCATAAAAATTTTTAAATTTAACTCAACACAAACTGGTAAGTTCATGACATGTATAATTTACTTATATGTTTTATATTGCAATTCTGTACCCTACTCCTTTGAAAATTATTTGCAATTGCATATGATGTTGTCATGTATTATAGTTGTGTCATGAATTTAATAATACCTCAATGGCTTCGAAATAGACAATGGATGAAAAAAGTCATGAATATTTAGCTTATTTACCCTTTAAACACTTGATCGTCAGTCATGTGCATACAGTGTATTGTTTGTTACCATAACCCCCTCAAGCAGACTTCAACTTTTCTTGTCAAATTGTATATTTTGCTTCATACACTGCACACGTGTGTATTTGTGGGAACACTCATGTTTGGATGCTTGGGATAAGTTAATGGTAATTTCACTGGAGTCATCAGGGATATAGTTGTATATTCCTGAAATTACCTCTAAACACCTAAAACAGCATTCCCTAAAATTTTAATTGTTTTCTTTCACATCGCTCAAACACACATTGCTTAAAAATTGCAGATTTTGCTTAAATCACATACCTAAAATTGCTTATCTCGTTATCGCCCCAGAGTAGTAGGGCCTACTGTTGCCATTGCTTTTTAGTCTCCAATACTTCAGTGAGTCATGCTTTGGAATTGACAATAATTTTGTATTACCCAACCGTTGAGTTGTTTTGTTTTTCATTTATCCAACATTTTACTTACTCAAAATTTAGTTTACCCAACCCTTTTCTCTTCGGTGCCACTCCCCACCATAAATGACCGGTCCCATAGAGAAGCCTTTTACATTTAGTGGCGGTTGCAATGTTGGTCGATCGAATTCCCATGTGGTCAAGTGGTTAGGATCTGGCGCTCTCACCGACATGGCCCATGTTTAATTCCCGGCATGGGAAAATTTTATTCCGCGCTTACATTCTAAGAATTGTACCCTCGTGCTATTGACGTTTTGCTACGTCCATCATTTTAATTTGCACTGCCGCAAACAACGTAGCTAAAGAAGATCACAATGAGTAATTACTGACGACGAGTGTACAAGTTCTAAAAATAACTTGGTGGTGTTTAAATCCACAGCGAAATAGTAAAAGTTGCGAAGAAATGACTGTGCAGTATATCGCGTTGGTGGTTCAGTGGTAGAATTCTCGCCTGCCACGCGGGAGACCGGGGTTCGATTCCCCGCCAACGCAGAGTATTTTACCTCTCGCATGATGGTTTCATGAATTTAGTGAATAATTGCTATCATCATGCACATGGACAGAAATTGGAATCCTTCCAACACATGTCTAAAGAAGAACGTGATGATCAATTTATGTTGCCAAAAGTTTACACAGAACGTTTTAAACAATCATTTTTAAATAAGTGTCTTTTTAATGACTTTTAGAATTTTTTTATACGGTATATATTATAACAATAACGTTAACATATTTCTAAATAATCTAATTATTTTATCTTATATGCACTGATCGTTTTAAACAACTTTTAACGACTTTTAAAACTTGGTTTTACGGTATATATTAACTGTAACGTTAACACATTTGTATATAATGTAATTATATCTTATATGTACTGTAAAGTTGCACGTTTGTTGCAACTCCAATATTTATGATAGATTTTAATAAAGAAATGCGAAGAAATGACTGTGCTGTATATCGCGTTGGTGGTTCAGTGGTAGAATTCTCGCCTGCCACGCGGGAGACCGGGGTTCGATTCCCCGCCAACGCAGAGTATTTTACCTCTCGCATGATGGTTTCATGAATTTAGTGAAAAATTGCTATCATCATCCACATGGACAGAAATTGGAATCCTTCCAACACATGTCTAAAGAAGAACGCGATGATTAATTTATGTTGCCAAAAGTTTACACAGAACGTTTTAAACAATATTTTTTAAATAAGTGTCTTTTTAATGACTTTTAGAATTTTTTTATACGGTATATATTCTAGCAATAACGTTAACATATTTCTAAATAATCGAATTATTTTATCTTATTATGCACTGATCGTTATAAACAACTTTTAATGAATTTTAAAACTTTGTTTTACGGTATATATTAACTGTAACGTTAACACATTTGTAATAATGTAATTATATCTTATATGTGCTGTAAAGTTGCACGTTTGTTGCAACTCCAATATTTATGATAGATTTTAATAAAGACGTACGAATGAACGAATGTCCCATGTGGTCTAGTGGTTAGGATCTGGCATTTTCTCCGCCATGGCCCGGGTTCGATTCCCGTCATGGGAATGCTTTTTAGGATATTCGATGACTTTAGTTTCGACGACTGCATCGTGGATTTTCAACTGCAATGTCTTTTTAACGATGGCCTTGTGGCGCAACTGGTAGCGCGTCTGACTGCAGATCAGAAGGTTAAGTGTTCAAGTCACTTCAAGGTGATGACGAACCTTAGGAATTTTCATGAAAATGTTCGATATCAGAATAGAGAAGCCTTTTACATTTAGTGGTAGTTGCAATGTTGGTCGATCGAATTCCCATGTGGTCAAGTGATTAGGATCTGGCGCTCTCAGCGACATGGCCCGGGCTCAATTCCCGTCATGGGAAAATTTTATTCCTTGCTTACATTCTAATAATTGTGCCGTCGTGCTGTTGACGTTTTCCGACGTCCATCATTTCAATTTGCACTGCCGCAAACAACGTAGCTAAAGGAGATGACAATGAGTAATTACTGACGACTTGTGTACCAGTTCTAAAAATAACTTGGTGGTGTTTAAATCCACAGAGAAATAGTGAAAATTGCGAAGAAATGACTGTGCTGTATATCGCGTTGGTGGTTCAGTGGCAGAATTCTCGCCTGCCACGCGGGAGACCGGGGTTCGATTCCCCGCCAACGCAGAGTATTTTACCTCTCGCATGATGG